TATGTAACATATTTAACTGTATACACATGGTTGGACCAACAAATGAAGAACTATCTTATGTAGTAGACTTAACTATATACACATGATTGGACCAATAAATGAAGAACTATCTTATGTAACATATTTAACTGTATACACATGGTTGGACCAACAAATGAAGAACTATCTTATGTAGCATATTTAACTGTGTACACATGGTTGGACCAACAAATGAAGAACTATCTTATGTAGCATATTTAACTGTATACACATGGTTGGACCAATAAATGAAGAACTATCTTATGTAGCATATTTAACTGTATACACATGGTTGGACCAACAAATAAAAAACTATCTAATGTACATTACATCAAATTTATGATAGAAAAGAAAGCTACTGTAATCATACTTTCTCAAGCAAATAATACATAATCTTATATGACTTAGTGATTGTTTCAGCACCATTCTGATTTGTTATGATCCATAAACTGAGATTTCCATGCCATGTAATTTCAATCTTGGGGAGAATGCTCATTTTGAGTGTTACATATGGCTAAGTCATACAACATTGTATATCAAAGTTGACCCATAAGCAATCCTTTATACATACGTTATTGGAGAAACATACATGAGATGATCAGTAAGTACACAGAAAAAAAAAGGTTAGTTAAAATGACAGTACATCATACTATGTTTTCCCCTAGACACATCTAGTTATTACCTCACTAGCACTGCCATGAAAATTCATGCACATGTCTCAAGCCTTTAACAAAGCTCCCACCCCTACCTTTGATCATCATCAGACTATAGCCTTCGACCAACACGAAGGTGACACACCTTTCATGCACAGTGATCTCCATTTAAACGTAAGCTTATTCTTAGAGAGGCAAATTAAATGCACTGAAAGTGAGGAGGAAGTGTGTGAGGTGGTTTAGAGGGATGAGTATCTGTCTGAAATACATTTTCAGGTAAGGAAAATATTAACTTTAGAAATGATACTCCCCTCTATGCACGGTAAAGAACTTGAATCTCACAAGGAAGATGGTGGAAGAACAAGTGCAGAGAAAACAATTTTCAAGATGAGCTCCTTTATGAAAACAGCATCAGAAAGGGAAAGCCTGTGGGGTGTGACATTCACAAGGTGAGGGTTAACCTAGTGGGGCAGCACTCAGTGGAAGACTGCATCCATCTCAAGCAGGGAATGCTCTTTGTCCAATGTTATTGTGGTATTTGTGGTTAGGAGAACAGGTAAACCAGAATAAAAATGTCAAAAGAATCTTTTGTATAGTGCTGAAGTGTCACCATGGTAAACAGAATGTAAGAATGGTGAAACACAATATGGGTGCAGGACAGAAGCAGAATGTCAGGAATCCTAAATTAAAATGGAACCAGCCATGTGGTGCACAATAGCAATAATATCACTGACCATAGGTACATCTCCAGTCACCATTACAATACTGGATGATTCCTGTAAAGGAGTGTTAAAAATCTCAGACAATGTCAGAAATGTTGGAACATAAACCACTTGATCTATGAACTGTTCTGTTGTGGTGGTGGTCCATTTTTGTAAAATACATAGAAGATATATATTTTTCATTAGTTAGAAATAAGAAGAGTCCAGAATGGTGATGGAACATAGGCCCAATGACAACCTTGGAGGGAACTGGATGAAACAACAGGAATAGACAGTGGAACGTGTGTTCCAAAAGTTCAAAATTTGTTGTGCATACTGGAGGGATTTATACATTTTGATAAAAGTTTAGAAAAAACGACCTTTACGCTCCAGATAGATATAAAAGAATAATTTTATTTCAACCATCTTTGCAGCTTCATCAGGGTTAATATACACAACTGTTTGATATTAGAGCATAAAGGTAGTTTTTTCTAAACTTTTACCAAAAGTTCAAAGTCAATTAAAAGAAAATCAAATTAAAGATAATTCAAATGAAAGTTCTAACTCATAGTTTTCACATTTAGTACTGTTCTTTCATATAATCAAGAAAAGTACATGACGAATAGTAATGAAAGGTTAAAACAATAAGTGGAAAATTCCCATAAATCAAAAAAACATGTCTGAATAAAAGCAGTAACATATATATATACTCCTACATAAAATCTAAGTGTTGTATAGCAAATAAAAGTTATACTTCTCATTTTATTCCAGTGTACAAAACTTAATGAGAATTTTAAAGTGTCCATTACATTAGCCTACCTTTAAAAGAAACACAGCATTCACTTTACCTTTTCATAATGTGTCTCAATACATAAATAAAGAAGGTAGGCAGTTAAACAGGCAAAACAACCCTCACATATAGTTCTTCCACTTATTTTTTCTGCTTCTGCATATATAGCATTCAATGTCGTGAGAGTATGCTCGAAGGTCTGTTTGTCAATCTGTGATGGAAACAAGTTAATTACAAGCTAACAACTTCCACAATCAATTAAACATAAACCAATACTACAAGTTACATACTCAAAATATAAATCAATAATAATAATAATAAACAACAGTGGTGAATTACACATTTTATAAAGTAATTTTAAACTGCTAAGATTAGGAATCTAAATAAGTGATTAAGTAAGTTAATCTGAATACCCACTAGCATTATCAAATGTTACTTAAGAACATAGAATATATTGTACCTACAATATAAAAGAATGTCTGTATATATTTCCCTCATACCTTTTGTAGATATGTATATATATATTTGTAATATTTAATAAATTAGTCATTTGGACTAGCCTGAGGATAATCTACCAAAAACATTTTTTACTCATGACTAGCACTGCCTAATTTTATATTTCTATTACAGGTAACACGTCATTACAATGACATGTTACCTGTAATACGTCATTACAATGAGCTAGTATTTGATGGGTTGCATCATAAACATTTAAGACTACATCAAACTGTGAAATTATAGTGGTGAAAAATTTCAGACTTTTCTTTGAAATAATCATCTTTTTTGAAGTTCTAATGCATGTTATGTTTCCTGGATGATGTAATACTAATTATTACATCAGTAGCTTTATAAGCAGTTTTTTTTTACTATAAATAGAGGTTCTATCTCCATCTCCACTTGCACACACACTTCCAACCCAACCAACACCTTATCCACCACAAACCAACATCCGACAGATGGTAGGAAGGTGGAAAACCTTGGTAAGATGACACCTCTGGTCCAAAACCTGGCAGAATTGGATATGTCTCTTCCAGTAAGCAGTAGGAAGAGGACACCCAACCATATACAAGTGTGAATACATGTGCTGCATCCAGCTACAACCAACACCAGATTCGCCAAGAACCAACATCCAACAAATGGCAGCTAAAGGAACTGCAAACCTGGGGTGCATCTCCAGTCTAAAACTTGACAACAATGGGATTTTTTCACCAAAGCAAAAGGAGGAAGAGGGATACTAGCCAGAACACATGTGAGGACTTATTTAACTGGACCATCTCCAACCAACAACTGATCCCCCGGGAACTGCATCCAGAGGATTGTAGGTAGGAGTAATATCTCATCCTGAGGGGCAAACTGCAATATATATATATATAGTCATAATATATATAGTCAGAGCATCCCACAATCAACACATGATTCCAATAATGACCAGGCCATCTCTGACCAACACCAGACCCACTGATGGTATGAAGGAGGAATGCCATAGTGGGAAAAAGCAATCTGCCATATATATGAATATGGCATAGTGCTACAACCAAAACCTGTCAGCATATGGAATTGTACATAAGTTGTGAAGTAGTAAGTGCTATACGCCATCAACACTCACAGAATGCCACTGCCCTACTCTCAACTGAGTGGCATGATGCATCTCTCAGAAGGACAGGCATCCATGGTCCACCACCCCAGCAGGTAGGAACTGGTAAGTGGCAAGGACTCTCATATTCCACAAGAAGAAAGGAGGGAAAAACACACCGAAGAGTCCAGAGGACCACATCACCAGAGACAGTGCAACAGATGACCAAGATACCCTATTTTGAAAAGCAGAGCTACCACATCAATGGAATCAATCAACCAACATCCGGCAGCATCTGAAGTTGCACATCAGGTCCATAGTATGAAGAATCTCAATGCCACGAAGCAACAGAGATGGGCAGAAATCCCTGTCTGCTTTATTCATCTGTGTCTGGGACAAACATATTTATAAAGCAAAAGATCACTAAAGAGAACTACTAGTATATCTATGGAACACCCCATCTCTATGATATGTATACATAATCCTGTGACATAATTGTTTCAGCATAGATGACAATTGAATGGAGACACACAACCAAAATCTAGCAGCATCTGGAATTGTACATCAGGTCCACTATAGGCTACAACATAATTGACATCAAGCATGATCACAGGATGGATAGTGCAGATTTTAAAAAATATATATATACCTGGTCAGGTATCACTCATCACAGAGTGGGATCCACAATACACTAGAAAAAAGACCCCTGTAAATAAAGAAATAACAAAACATAGTATACACCAGTCATAACGACACCATGATGTATAAGATGGCAACTGGAGGTAAACGAAAACCCACTGACCAAGAAACTACCAAGTGATGTAAATAATTTGAAACAAAGGTATGAGGTGTAGTCCACATACCAGCCCTGATTATGACCTCTAAAAAAACCAAAAATAGGCAGCCACAGTCATGATGAGGTGAATAATTTGATGAGAAGATAACTGAAAAAGGCAACACTCCACAGATGAAAGGGAAGAATACACCAGCCTAATTCATTGGCAAATCCAACTTGTAAGGGTAATGGGAGAGAGGTCCTAGGACACAGAAGAATTCCATGGAATAAACAAAACAATTAAGCAAAACATGGAAGGGAGCAGTGCAAGTTAGATACCATTGGAGGGGCGGGACCAGACATAGTAGGAAGTCAAGATCAGAACAGCCATAAAAGTGGGAAGAAGAAGAGAATGAAATGGAAAAAAAGTGGAATTATCCTCACTAGTAGCAGAAGTCTTTGGCAAAAATGAATAGTCAGGAAAGAGGAGAACGTTAGAACTGTGAAACAGCACACGACAAACATCAATCGCAAATATCTCAGATAGAGATTTGAAGGAATGCTATAATGTAATTCACAATTTTTCAATTCTAAGTGTTTATATTTAAAATGTATCTGTCACAATCATTGTTGCTCTTAACTGATATCTTGGTCATACCGAAAAAACAAAGAAAGTTACACACAATGAGAGTTGATAAGAATCAGGACTTTCATCAAGTAAACAATGTTTATTATGTTTTTAAAAAGGTATAAAATGCTTATTGAAATCTTTTCAAAGGTACACAAATTTTTAGAAGAGGGTCAATATGTCTTACTGAGAAACCTTCCCTGTAAATATTTATACAGTCATACCAGTCTGTTTTCTTCATGTCTTGGGGCAAAATAAATTCCAGCAGTGACTTTGGATTTGTGAAATTTATACTCATTAAGAGACATCCAACAAATATTCAAGGATAACTGGATAACACGTGTATGCATACTGAAGTAATATTACTTTTATAAACAATGGGACTAGATGGTCAAGTATAATGTTAAAACAACTTATAGGCTTGACTAGACACACCTATATTTGAATTAAGGGTAAAACTCGTCTCCCTCTGTCACTTCCCTACCCTCATATCACAAATGCCTCCAAAACTTTTTGAGACAAATTATAAAAGGATTGAATCTTTACTTTTCTACTCCATGACCCTGATTAATAATGTACAGTTACTACCAATAATATATAGGAATAGTCTTCTAACTAAATTCAAAATCAATAGGAAAAATTAAGATAATTAGATGAAAATAGTTAAAGTTTTATTTATAATTCCTTTCTAAAATAAAGTTATTTATTAACATGATTAATCTCACTTACTCAAGGTTAAGTGATGCTTTTACTATATTTCATATATTTCCAACATAACACAAGTACTCTTAGGAAAGTCTTACCAAGCCTTCCAGTTCTTGTGGAAACTTTGTTTGAAACTTAACATTTGTTCCTTCAGAATAGTCTCGCTGGATAAACACTTTACGACAGCTAACTGGTCCTCTATTTGCATCATTCATACTGTGATTCTAATTCAATAAAAATTCCTTCATAAGTACCAGCCACATCTTTTTTCAACTCATTCAACAAGAATAACGTTTTTAAAAAATCCTTCATTGATACACAGCAGAATTGTCTCCCCCCCGAAAATAAACAACATGCATTAATAACAGTGATAACACACTTTTAAATATTTAAGTTTAAAGAAAAGTTTCATAAGAAATAAATACTATTTTCACATACCTACTAATAAAAACTATATTACAAAAACCTACATAATACACATATACATTCATTCTAAGCCCACTAATATTCACTTTTACCTAGAAAGACTGAACAGTAGACTTTTACCAAGAAAAGTTAACATTTTCTTAAATCTAAAATATATTTTCACTAATACTTACCACCTCTCATACTTAACTCCACTCACACTACAGTTATTACTGGGCTACTAGGGTTCCTTTGCCCATCTAAGCATTAGTCTGATATTTACTAGCTTGTTCTAGTTTTTATACTACATTTAATTGCTCTTGGCAATATCTGTCTCATGACACTCTCCACCTACGTCAGTACGCCCTTTTTCTTGGTACTGTATATAAGCACCTACTTCAGATAATATCACTTTTTCTAGACTGACCCAATCCGCATTCTCTAACACCGGCTCTTAGTGGGGAAGAAGGGCAGGAGAGTGTGAGAGGTGGAAAGTATTACCAGGAATACATTTTTGATTTAAGAAAATGTTAACTTCCAAACATACTTAACTCTGCTAACCCTAAAGCTAGAATCTCACATTGATAAGGTGGAGGGGCTGGTGAGAGCATTATCCATACAGAATGCATCTGCAAAGATTGTGGTCGTGCCAATAAAAGATTATCACCATAGTGGGGAACTGCACTACATCTAGAACAGGTATGCTCTTCATCTGGAAACTAAATCATGCACTAAGATGAAATTTGACGTAATCCATCATCACCATTGGCTAGGTCCAAACTAGGTGGCTGAGGTCCCACTGCTCAGGGTTAGAATTTTATGGCCATGGTCCCTAAATCCCATGTTGGTGACTAGGGCATTTGGACTGCAATAGATATATTTGTGAGTGGATCCAAACCTGTAGCTAGAGAGTGATGCAATCCAAGCCACCAGAATAACAAGAAGAAGGTAAGCAACACAGAGGTGGACACACCCTCTTTTCAACCTGAATAACTCCGAAAGGCAACACCCCCAACTGGGAATGATGGGATACTCAACCTGAGGAAGCAGAACTCATCTGGTCTGGAATTATGAATACTCATTATCACTCCTTAACTTGTGGGCAAGGTAAATTTCACTCGTCCCTGGAATTATGGGGAGGAACAAACAGTGCTCAACCTAGAATGGGACTACTCTACATTCGGAATTACAAGGAGACAATTGACCCTCTTCCACGAACAATGTACTGAACCAATATTGACCAAAAAGAAGGGCAATGCTCAACCCAACTGGATAGATGAGCATCAAATCTGAACCAGTATTACGTACAGGCTCCCACATAGGCTGTGCCCCCAACTTCACCTACTTCTCGAAGAGTGGAGGAAAGCCACTAAAACACTTTGAAGGAATAACTTCTGTCCACCACCCCAGTAACTGGAAACCAGAACTGGTAAGGATTCCCTATCTCAACTAGTAGAATATGGGGGGGGGGTGCAAACAGTGCTTTGGAAACAGTGCAATAGGTGAACCAAGTTCAGAAAATTTTTAAAAGCATACTGACCCTGATCTATTCAATGCAATGATTGGCAGGGAAGAGCAAGATCTCCTTATACTTTTCTCATGAATGACAGTCCAGTATAGTACATTAATACCACCTGGTCTGCCTCTAGATGGTCTTATGAAACACCTCATTTCCACAGAACCTGTTGCAACCTAGATAAAGTAAATTGTGGTAAGGGTTGCTAGTACAAATTTGGTTTGATAAAAGCACACCTGACTGGGCAACACTTGCAACAGAGAGGGATCCTGTGAAAAAAAAGAGGTAGAGGTCCCTGGAAAGGAAAGAAGAGATGAGATTAGTCATGAAAATACTGCCCCATCTTTATAATCTAGCAGATGTGGTTAATATAGCTACAGGGGATAGTTGAAAACTCTCAGAGGATGATACTGCCAGATCATGCAAATAATGTGAGATAAATGTATTGAGGGAGGTCAACACATAAGCTCACACAATGTTCTCCAGTGAGCTATTCAACCAGGCTGCTAAGGAAATTGAAATGTGATGAATCTGATGAGACCTGACTTGCAGAAGTCTCCTCACCTCCAAAGAGAGCCCAGAATAAGCAATATGAATCGATTTTCACACCCACCCAGTCAAGTTAACTGTGGATAAATCCCGGGAGACTGGAGGGTCCCAATGAATAAAAAGCCATTGTTTAACACCTCTAAAATCTTTAGTGCTGGAAACATAACACTTCAAGCCCCTCACTAGACATAATAAACAATCAGTCATAGAGATGAGAAATGGTGGTCAAATTAAGTGGGGTATAAAAAAACTGGAACAAGCAAGAAAAAAATTAGACTAATGATTAAATGGGCAAAGGAAAGAAAACCCTAGTAGTCGAGTAATAGCTGTAGAGTGTGCAGAGTTATGTATGTTTTGGAAAGACCATAATAGGCATGTGCAGTCACTCTAAACCAATTAACATTCACTTTTACTTAGGACTACACAGTAGACATGTACAGTCAATCTAAATCCACTAATATTCACTCTTTCCTACAACTATACAGTAGAAATGTACAACCAATCTAAACCCACTGATGTTCATTCTTTCTTGGGACTACACAGTAGACATGTACAGTCAACACAAGCCCACTAACATTCACTCTTTCTTAGGACTACACAGTAGACATGTACAGTTAACACAAGCCCACGAACATTCACTCTTTCTTAGGACTACACAGTAGACATGTATAGTCAACACAAGCCCACTAACATTCACTCTTTCTTAGGATTACACAGTAGACATGTACAGTCAACACAAGCCCACTAACATTCACTCTTTCTTAGGATTACACAGTAGACATGTACAGTCAATCTAAACCCAGCATTAAAAACTGTTATTGAACTTCTTTCTATGTATTCCTCTGTATTACTCGTGCTATACAATTTAATATTTGAATACACGAGCATATTTTACCCACTTTTTTAATGTGTTAAAGTCTGCATCATAGAGCAATAAACAGGTAATATGGCTTTATTTATGTCCATACTTTAAAACAGTATTAACTTAAGATCATCATTGGGCTCTGATTACAATCTGCATATCCCAGAAATGTAAAACACTCCTCCACTACACAATCATGCATCTTAAGAAACAAAAACACTGTTCCGCTACACAGTCAGTTATCTTGCAGAAATGTAAAACACTGCTCCGCTACACAATCATGCATCTTAAGAGAAAATACTGTTCCACTACACAGTCAGTTATCTTCCAGAAATGTAAAACACTGCTCCACTACACAATCATGTATCTTAAGAGAAAATACTGTTCCACTACACAGTCAGTTATCTTCCAGAAATGTAAAACACTGCTCCACTACACAATCATGTATCTTAAGAGAAAATACTGTTCCACTGCACAGTCACTTATCTTCCAAAAATTTAAAACACTGCTCCACTACACAATCATGTATCTTAAGAGAAAATACTGTTCCACTATACAGTCACTTATCTTCCAAAAATGTAAAACACTGGTCCACTACACAATCATGTATCTTAAAGTGATTACAAGATAAAGTGATTACTACATAATCATTAGGTAACCTATTGAATTGTTTTATCCTCAAATTTAATTGTAATTTTGGATTAACCTTATGAGCCGAGATGAGTCAAAGTGCATAAGACACAACCTTTTTAAATAATTACAGTCAAAATTTAATTAAACAACTTTATTATAAGTTTAATCTTTAAATTTCAAAAGAAAATACATTTCCAGTCTTTACTTCTCTGTATCACATGTTGCTTCTTCACTCCAAATTACCCATTTTAAATTTTACTTCTACCTTTATGTAAAATTCTGAATGTTAAACAATTACACACTAATACAATAGGTACTGCTAAACCATAATGTAAATCTATGCCTTCCAAGCTTCTTGCTTTACTGAGATATAAAAGTAAAACTTACATGCCATGCCCTTCCTATCTCATTGACTTTCAAAAAGGTAATATATTCTCTTCAACATTTGCTTTTTGATTATTTGTAACAGAAAGAGCAGATTGTTCATTACAAGGTTCATTTGAAGGCTAGTTTCTTTAGGTACAAGGTTAAGAAATATTTAGCTTCAGTTTCATTGTTTACCTCTGTGATGTTTGGCTTAACCATCTAATGGAATTTTTTAAATATATTTATAGCTTGATTAGAAAGCTAGTTAAATTATAGTAATTTTAAGGCATTTTTTTGTGTATGATAATGTTTTGTTGTTTAAATTACATATTTGAAATAAAAATTAATAACATTTTGAAACGCCAATATCATCATAAAAAAGTATGCCTACAGTATTTCATCTGTCAAAAGACCAGAAGTCCAAATATAATTACTAAATTTCTTTATTTATATTTTTACTTATTACTATAAAAGTAACTTAAATTTTAAAATTAAAAGTTTATTAAGGTTAGACAAGAAAATTCAAATGGAAAAAAATGAATATATAAAACATTTTTCATAACACCCAATATACTAACATGCAAGGCCTGATTGTAATTTGATTGTGGGGTGTTTGTAACCTGATCCTTTGATAAACAGCTTTCAGTGTACTTTGAGAAGGTTTAAGTGTAACTGTACAGCAGTAAAACTAAATGAACCCCAATTTGAAAAGTCCATCAGCTTTAGCTGCAAGAATAAACTCTGTATTATTTCATTTTACAATATTCAGTCATTCTATAGAGAGAAAAAAGAGGAAATGCCAACTTTTCATTTTACTCTACAATGCTTATTTGCTATTTTGCTACAGTTACTGTTAGGGTAGAGAAAAGATCAGATAAAATATAAAGTTTTACTGGATAAAACACTTTTGATGAGGTTCTAGAGAGTCCATAAATGAAATATGAAAAAAGTTCATACACTAGTAACAGTGACAGACTGACTCACTAAAGTCACAGACAAATCTGTAATAAAAAATACTTTGTTAACAAATTTGATTTATTTCGTGTACCAAAGACCTGTAATGTTTACTAAAAGCTTTCCAAATTTTAAGAAAATACACTTAGTACATTCAGCATTATAGTATATATAGTTTTCATGCTCACAAAGTTAATGTGAGTGAAAGATAAAACACTAAGGTCTATAATCAATACCTCACATTTACTGCAAATCTCGATCTTTTCAGCATGTATTTTGTCATTTTTGTTATATGAACAAACATAGATGTCTACCAGTATAATGCAAAGCACAAAGTGGAAATGGGAAAAAAATGGATAAATAGCAAGAAGTCAAGATTAACATAAGAAATCATGAAATATGTAAAAGTGGCAAAAGATAAAGGTTTACAATTAATTTGTGTTATAATGTTTGTTTAGGCCTTCATACCTTAGATGACAGATGCAAATGTAAGACACATTAGGCATTAATATTTGCACTATGGAAGGAATATATGATATATTACAGGGATTTCCCCAGACATTTTTAGCACAAGTAATGACACACTATTTTAAAATATGTCCAACACTCTCCTTTTTCACAAGCAACTGTGCCACTAATAAGCTATTTATCAGGTTTCAAGCATAAGAAAAGCTGTTTTCATGCATAGTAAAAATAGTCCTCATTGTTTATATACTTCTGGCACAGTAATACAAGAGTAATATGATCGTTATTGTGTGTACATAGATTAAGATATGTCTATCATTTGAGCTCCTTAACTTAAGAAAATCATCAAATTGTTGGAAACGGTTTACACGAGGGCTATTAAGGTACCTAGAGTGGAAGATTGTCATACAAGACCAAGTTAAAATCTCTTAAAACTTTCTCTTGAAAAAAGAAGAGTTAGAAACTATCTGATTGAGGTTAATGGAACTGAGTTAACTGATGCATCATCATTTTTGTATTTAAGAATGTTAGGACAAGAGGACACAAATATAAACTTGGGCAGCCTGGTGTCATCTTCAGCTTAGATAGCTCTACTTTTCTAACATGGTGGTTGGCCTTTAGAATGGATTGTCTTCAGATGTGGTGGATGAGGTAAATTTAAGGACAGGTTTTATAAATATTTAAATGAATTAAAGTGCTGAATTTAAGTTTGTTTTTAATTTTTGAAGTGGATGGGACAGCTTCAATAGACAAACACGCTCCTTGCTGCCCTGAAATGTTATAGCTTTTTAGTCCTAAACCAGTGCACCTGCTTCATTTGCATGTCCAGTCTGAAATTGTATTTACCTAAATGCCATGGTCACATGTCTGCCTCTTAGGAAACAATCATAACAGCTCACATTGTGTAGGCTAAATCTTTGCATGCTTTAGTTAATTTTTTGATGATCAATCTCATAAAATATATTATTCAGAATGAAACAAAAGTTCTGAGACAGAGCTACAAATACTTCATCAAAAATTACCACCATGATGTCTTTGTGACAAATGATAACCCAACATTTTCCATCCCTTGTCTAGCCTAGATCAGATTACAGTTCAAAATTATATCAGAGTAATAAAAATTAATTAATAGCAATACCTTCTAATAAGAATTAATTAATAAAAATAATTTCTGAAAGTTTAGCACAGATAGTAGTTCATGTTTACATTAGCAGACTGAAGAAAGTTTTTTTTTTCAGTCTGTGAGAACATAACTAATGACACACCAATCATGCTCATGGAATGAAGCAAAGCATAAAGTTCAACCAGTATTAATTGTTGTATGTTGGCAAGATTACTGAGTGAAGGATGCACACCTGAGAGGTTGATCTAGTCTAGATGACAGATCTGGGCACAAATCAAAAAGTTTAGATCTACATTTGATGCAGGCCTCTTAGATCAAGTACAAAATAAATTACCTCTTGTCCACTTGCTTTCAGTACAACAACAGCAAATCAAAACTTTTGATAAGTATTAAGTATTTAACTCAGAAATTTCCGGTATCAATTTTTATCACATATCACATGACAAAACAGTGGTTAGCAATGAAAACAAAGCTGAACTGCATTCTTTCAGCAAACTTTTTCAAATAAGATGGTTACATGGCAACCATGTCACTCAGATTGTAGGGCTCTATTTTTCTGGGGAGAACCCTGTAGCAGGTCAGTACAGGTGTAAACAGTCAGAGAAAGTAATACTAATATTGTGAACCACAGATAAGAGACCTACCTCCCTATTATTACTAACAACATAAGGATGTTACTTAAACCTAAATACTGTTGCTAGTAGTAATAGTAACAATTAATGTTATCATAAACAGCATATAAGTTATATTTAAAATAATCATCTACACCCAATAAACATAAAAGGGGGAGAATCCACTTGTAAACTTATTAAAACTGAACTGGCAAATTCACCTTATTACTATTAGGAAACAAACTTTGTTTTATGGGGATTTTTTTCTTAAATTAAGTTTAAAATATTAAAGAGTAAAGTAAATCATTATGTCACTAGTTTTCGGCCTTGTATAACTACCATACTAAATTATACATTATTATAAAATAAACATTTACGATTTTATCAAAATGTTAGTAGTATTAAATGATAAATTAACCATGTAGCCAGTAATAGCTCTTCCTTTTCATAATTCGTAACAATAAATAATGTATTATACCTGTCCAGAAGCCATCTTCTTCTGAATACATCCGGGTAGATGAAGTGATTACAGCGCTTCCTCAAGGCTCAATGTCATAATGTTGTTGTTTGTTCCTATACTGTCAGTAACGCAGTGAGAATGTCTATCGGTGAAATAAAAAGAGCATCAGAAAACACCCTTCACATAAGAATAATCATTTCATTTATATTAAATATTTCCAAACAAAAATAAACCAAATGAAACAGGTAAACCACGCAACAATCTAAAATATAATAAAAAATTAAGACAAAAATAATTCAGCAGAATCATTAAGACTGTCATCACCATGCAATCTTAATACATTACTATTGGTATAAAATTAGCCATTGTAATTAATGGATTAACACATGAAAAGCAACAAAATTTCTTATAATTTGAAACAACATTAACTTAAGGTGTTTTCAAAATTTAATGTAGCTGAAAACGATAATTAAATTGAAACCTTAGTGTATAATGTTTTTTTACCTAATTCGTAACATATTGTTACGTCTCTGGTCGTTTATTAATTTCCGGTATAAATTCTTCCCGAGGAACTTCAGCGATACAAGTCATTTCTTAAATAAAACTAGTTTATTCTTTCTCAATACAACTTTGCAATACACTTAATTTCCACAGTCACTTTAATTTGAACACACGCTATAATTCACAACGATTCGCGCACTTTACTTACGGTCACTACCGCTCGCTTGACTCAATTATCTCTCTCTATATCTCTCTATCTGCTATTCTCTATGCCGTCACTTTTTTATCTCCGCTTTATTTGCCGGGCTTATATACTAAGATATAGGGCGCCTAGAAAAGACTAGAGTTGCCAGGAAAGGTCACGATTCTTCTAGAAACTCATGACGTGTTACCAGCGTCACGTGACTTCCGCTGTCGTAACAATATCATACAACCACGTTACTACTGTGGCATAGTACGGTCGAACTGAATTAACATAGAAGTGATGGAATAGGTTAAAAACATTTAGGCAATTCGAACAGGATAATTATTGCGGAATCGTACTAAATCCTTGAATAACAGAGTCTGAGAAATAAAAGAGACTGATGCACAAAATAAGAAATCTTTATTGATTCTCAAACAAAGTGTACTTGCTGTTGTTACACTTGTTTGTCGCTTTTACTGGATCTTCCTTCAAACTGCTTGCTCTTCAAAAATGTGTACAAGACTGTTCAAATTCAAACTTCCTTACTTTGTAAAAAATACCATATTTACCAAGGGCGACTAGCGCTAATGTGACAAGTCATTCTCTTTCAAACATAGGTGAGGCTCTAACTTCAAGATATCACCTTAAAAACCTTTGAAAGACATTGCTGTCGAAATCTTTTCACAACCTGTGTTACAACGAAACAAGTATTATCTTTCCTCTATTACATACTTTAAGCTTGCCCTCAAGGCGACAGTAAATTTTAACTTTAAAGCAATAAAATCTAAACACGCGGAATATGTTAACACCCTCTTACCTTTGAAACTTTTACTTGCCACACAAACGTCACAACGTTTACTCAAAAAAATGAAATACGTAATTACACTTGTCAAAAATACCCTTCAAAAAGAAGCAATAACACAAAAAACCTTTAACAATGAAAATCACATAATACATATAAACATAAGCCCTTTACCAATCAAACTGCATATAAAACAAAAATAAACCTTTTAACACAGATAATAGGTTCTCTAACGCATTTAGATGATATCCTTAATAAATATACATTATACAGCAAAATCACAGCTACTTAAAATAAACAGTGTTTAAAATCTCAAAATAAAAATAACAACTAGGTCATACTGCAAACTTAAGAGAAATACATAGAATCAATTCACTTTAACAGCGAAATTATGCACAAAAGATAACATCCTCTTATGAGAAAGGTTCAAATATAATGTTTTGTTTTGTTGGTTGGTTGTTAATCCCAAATCTACACGGGTATCGAAATATGACTTTTAGCATCATATGCTCTCAAATTTACCATTAAGCCAACATCTGATAAAAAAATCATTCAAATTTTGCTTTCCTTGCTCACAAATAAAAATATAATTTTCTGTTGCATAACGACATGTTTTCTTCACATATATCCATGTGAAAATGTGTCAGCGAGCTTATGACATAACTAAGTAGTAAAAACTGGAAACTTTAACACAATTTTTCTCTTTTGGTAGCACCACCATTTTGCTATGTTTACATTTAGAAATACGTCACATTTATGTCCTCCCTCTAGTGTAATACAAACCATATTGTATAAGCCCATCAACACTCACATCATTTTCAGTAATGAATATATATATAGTCAACATTTTAAAATACTGTTCATAAATTTGATAAAATAAGAGCAGCCCAAGAGTTAGCTGCGTTCTCTCGAGTCTACCAGTTCAACATAAGGGACGGCAAGCGCAGATAACTTTGTAGTAGCTTTGCACAAATGTCTTAAAAATAAATCCTCTGGGTAGCAATAGAGAGGATTTTTTTTTTTGGCATATCGCATAGTTAGCTGAAAGATTAGATGATATTTGTATTAAAGAGCAGGTAAAATTACTAAATTATGGGATAGCCTTAAAAACAGGAGTAAAATATGACAGAAATAAGAAGCTAATAAATAGGAGTTTCAGGGAAACTCTTAAATACTTATATGAAAGTTATTTAAAGTAAATTTTAGTTACTAGAGATAAAGTATTTAATAATTTAAGTCAAATAATGTGGATTCACATTAGGATGCTATAATGTTTGGTTCTGGGCTGGATAGAAAGAAAAATGTGTAAGAATAATAAGCTATTTTAAATATTTTAGTTAAGATGTTAGAAATGAAGGTTTCACATGATGGAGCGCCTTTGTGAAATAAAATTAATTCCAAAAAATGTTGTTGTGTTATTTGTGCTTTTCTGTGCTGGTGAATTTTCAAATAATAAAGTAATTTCGTCAACAGAGGGTACAGCGAAATGACGTCATCAACCAGCTGTGAAAGGGTTACTCATACTAATAATAATGACTTGTTAGGCCTTAACCTCAATTTTAGATAATAAATATCTGGAAAAACAGAAGAAACAAAATTACAGTTATAACGTCTACCTTTTAACGTAATTTTGTAACCTTTCTTTCCATGGTAATTCCTATGTTTTCAGTGATGTTTCTTTATCGTGGTTAAGAAGAAATAATGGGGGGGCTGTTTGGGTTCGCAACTGGGATCTCGACCTTCGTCGGGCATTGGGTCTTCTGATGTTACAAGCTTTCAGCAAACAGGTAGGCGTAGTTTTATATAATGACTCATTTTAAACCAAATCTTCTCTATCAACACAATTTTAAGGATTTAAAAAATAAGCTATACCAATTCAGTTAAACCCAGTATTTCATTGCTTTCTTTTATTAATGACTTGTTTTTCATTTTTCAAAATTTTTATTTATTTTTTTTGACAATTAGTATAAAATTACAATTATATTCAACCTCTTCCTTTTGATTTTATAATTTTAGTGAGTATGTTTACAGTCATTGAGATTGTACAGAATTCTATATTGAATGTTCACCATTGAATCTTTCTTATGCTTGAAAAATTTTGAAATTTGCTATTAAAGAACTAATGACTAAGACAAAAGTGTAAATATGTATTTATTGTTGTAGTAAAAGTAACGTAGGAGTGTTTTAAAAGTTAATGAACTTATTTTGATTTGAATCAGTATGTTATTATTTGATTATTGCCATAGCACAATGTAAGACAAAACTTGTGAGAGAATTTTTATCAGAGATACATGAACAACAAGAGTAGTTAATAGGTTCTAGTATATGGCTTACAAAGTTTTAGTATTTAACTAATTATTTGTTACACTTTCACATTAAAAGTAATTTAGCAGTTAGTTAACATATCTTAGTGTACTTGCCTCATAACCTAACAAATCACTTAAATTTATCATTCAACAGTAGAGGTATTTTCATTATCTTAAATTGTATAAAATTCAAAACTATGAGACTAGATTAGAGATGTACTGGTTAGTTTTTGTTGTTGCTGACCTTTGTTACAAAGGTAGACTTGTGTGGGTCTTAGGAAGTTTATAGGAAATTACATATTGATTTTTACATTTTAGCAGAGATATTACCAGTATTCAATAAATAAGATAATACTTTTACCATTAGAGTCCAGTTGAGTAAGAAAATTCAGTTAACTCATAAGTCATTTAAGAAGTTGACATTTGCTACCTCCCGGACTAATGTATAATGAAATGAAAAATTCAGCTTTAAAGCTTTTAAGGATTATTGTGTTGAAAGCTGTAATAAAATGTTCTATAGACTCTTAAGACCTTTTAAAAGCTAGAAATCCTATAAATATGTCCAATTTGTGATAACCATACTAAGTATCCTTTCACTTGCAATGGTCAAACTGTAGTGTGAAGCTCCAAGTACAAAAACAGTAAAACTTCAAACAAGGATCCACCATTTCTTTTGCTTTTCAATGTAACTTAACACAAAACTTAGTTGTAAGCTAAGTTGTTTTGCTTTTTTTTATTTTGTTCCTCAGGCATAAGTTGAACCACACTAAAATTTCCTAATTAAATTTATAAAATGATTCATAGTAATTTATTAATGAACTACACAGTATGAAAAAGACCAAAATTACAAAGAAATAAAAATCTAATAAATTGTAATCAAGGTATTTTGTAGTTTCCATAGGCAAAAATCAGCCTTTGAAGCAAGAAAAACTGAAATGGAAGAGTGATGTGCCCTTGACTGATGGACAGCTTCGAAGCAAACGGGATGAATTTTGGGATACTGCTCCAGCATTTGAAGGTCGAAAAGAAATCTGGGATGCCCTAAAAGCTGCAGCCTATGCTGCAGAAACAAATGACTTTACGTTGGCACAAGCCATTATTGATGGTGCCAATATTTCTCTTCCTAATGGTAAGTTTCATTGAGTGCGTAATGTGTTTTAGCAGAGACACAGACCAATTGTAATAAATATAACAGTCTATTGAATTATAGGATTAGAAGCTCTATCCATATCTCATTTTTACCTGTTATTCTGAAATTGTATGTTTAATGATCGAAGTTCACGTTCTGTTATTTTCTTTACATTTTCACAATTGAAGATGAAGTGGTAATGCACTCATATTCTGGTTAAGAGCTGGATTCTTAGCTTAATGGAAAAATATTTTAGTATTTTTAGGTGGAGTTTTTCCTGGAACTGGAGAATGATATCGAAAAAACTGGAAGTAGGCTTAACATCACATTTGTTTACAGTGGTTGGTAATACTATTGTTGTAGGTTTAACATCACAATGTTCTTTTCATGATGTTGAGGAACCCACTTCAAGTAAATATACAATAAAGATGGCCGATAATGGTATTAAAAACTTTTATTTAGACCACAAATCAAGTAACAACATTTTCACCTGTTTAGATCATCATCAGGTAAAGAAGGTGTCCTTTTATTTAACTGCAGAATCTTCTAGTGGTTGATTTAATATACCCCTGGTTGCAACTCGAGCACATGAATTCATGTACCACTAGTGAGATATCCAATAGATAATGATTTTAAAGTTGAAGAATTTTTTCAACTTAGTCTTTTTTACAGGCACATTATAATTGAAGTTGTGAATATAGATGTTTGATAATCTTCTTAGTGATTAAGTAGGGTATGACTGAACTAACAGTATTCTTCAGAACATCTAACATAAAACAGATGGCGTATTGAGTTTTTTCAGTTTGTTGTGAATTACTCTATTTAAGAATGACAATAGAAAAAATTGTTCTTAGAATCTCTTGCCATTAAGCTAAGAAAACCAGCTCTTAACCAGATGATAGTGCTCTATTGCTACATCTTTAATTGTGAAAAATTAAAGAATAAAACAGAACTTCAATCATTATTCTTTTCAGTTTGGAGAAATGTTATTAAGGCAATAATATATTAATTATTTGACTAAATTTAAAATTCAAACTCAGTGGTAATTATGGCAAAAGAAAAACAGTATTATCATTCTTAATCTAGGTGAAATTTTCACATTTAAGAATACTCTGCTTGTACTTATATTGATAAAAATTAACATTTGCAAAACTAATTTACCTCAGACATTTATCTGTAGTGTTTTGCTTAACAAGTGAATGTCACAGATTATCTACCCAGAACACTAGAAGTAACAGCTATTTAAAACAATTGTTACTATAAAAAAGCTCATGAAAACAGTATAAAAATCATGAAATAGTTATTACAGTGAAGAACTACAAGTATATAGCACCAGTAAATACAAACTTATGAAAATAGTATCAAAATTATTGAAGTAGTTATTAATGTAAAAACTATGTAGAAAAAAGTTTTACAGTCTTTAAAACAATTATTATAAAAATGCAAGTTATGTTCACACCAGTACCATGAAATTTAATCTTTAATATTATGAAATATGTACTATGAGAGAATGATATATTTAGTATTTGCATACTGCATCTCACTTCTTTGTTTTAGACATGTTCTCTGTAAAGTTAACACCACTTTCAAATGTACAATGTAGTCTAGTGAAATCCAAATAATTACAACTTTTGGTTTTAGAGTGGATACAAATACAACAGATAGCACAAGACAAACCACACATACATGACAAACAGCCTTGTCTAAACACAAACTGCTAACTAAACATTTAAAAACTAACTTTAAAATATAAGAATACAAAATAAAATTATCAAACATTTATGTACATAGAAATAAATCCTTTTATAATGCCAGTAAATTAAAACTTTTAAATACAAAACACAAGACAAACTTTTAAATACAGAAATACACTACCATGAGATGTAAAAAGAAAAAGGCAGAAAACATATAACAGAAAGAGAAACCTAACTATTGAATGTGTGAATAAACTGCTATGTAAAAACCAAAAGGAAAAAGAATGAACTAAAATACGAGTTATATCAAACCTGCACATTATTGAACTAAATCGAAAGAAAATTCTAATCATCATAATTATATACATTAAATGTATTGTAAAATAAATCCTTAAGCTGAATACTAATAAACTTTAGAATACAATATAAAATAGTCTTGTGTTTAATTGCTATAAACATGTAATAAAACTCAAGAAATCATGAAGGATGATCAATGGCTCATATATTGTAAGTTAAAAAAAGAGAATATGCAAAATATATAAATGCTCAAAAGCATAAATGTACATGTTAGAAAGAAATAGATACAGAAAACTTATGTAATGGAAATTTACAAAAATATACATATTTACATCCCAGAATTTTCATCTGTTCTATTTCTAGTTTATTTATAAGAGGAAATAATTAAGAGTTGAAAAATTAAAAGTCAGTTAAGACTTATTTATTTGTGTGAAGATGTCTTTCTTTTAAAGGTTTTGTATTTTTCAGGTACTCTTATGGATTGTTATGATGAACTAGGAAACAGATACCAGTTACCAGTCTACTGTCTGAGTGCTCCTATTAACCTCATTGAAGATAATTCGGAGGTTGATACCCCATCGCCTGATAGTGAGACCTCTAATGGTGGGGGGGAAGAAATTGTAGTAAAAATGAGACTTTCTACAACTGGTAAAGATACTAAAATGCCTGTACAAACCAGAGAGACAGTCATGAATGCCAAACGACGTCTTCAGGCATTAGAGTCGATTGAACCTTTCAGGCAGAGATGGTTCTTTGGGGGCCGTCTTCTAAGTGACAAAATGAAAATTGAAGAAATAAAGCTTCAAGCTGGCTATGTTGTACAAGTTATAGTATCACCTGGTGATTCAGTACTGGTTGGTAACTAGCACGAAATTAAATCTGTGATCGTTGTAATCCTAATTGTAACCAGGGCAACGTTATTAGTGCTCACACATAGTCAATTTTAGGGGGAAAAATGTTCTGTACATTAAGCTTTACATTTACTTATTCTTTTTTCTAAAACACTATGTAAGACAGGAAAATATAAAACTATGTAAAATAGTTTGCTGACTCAAGCAGGGAAGCTTCCCATTCTGCTATAAGATGCTTCACAAAGTTCATGTACAGTGTATATTGTATATTTTGTATCTACAAATTATATCTAGGTGTCATTTGAGTTTATAGATCAAATGGTATTTGATTGTATTTAACATTTACAAACTTAGTATCAAAAAGTAACTGGCTTCTAGTACCAGTACATCTTCATTTTACAGTGTAGAAATACCTCTCTTCTGTTTCTATGTAATGTAATCAAGAAACATTTCTTGTGGATAAATTAAAGTGTCATATCTCTGAAGTAAGATTGATTGTTTGTAACTAATCCAACGTTTAAGAAATCTTTTTGAAGCCAAGTTTGTACATTTTAGGTACAGTGAAATGACCACTATTCTACAGTTTCACTCAGAAGATTTTATAAGCAGTTTTACAGTAGCATTTGGTTGATCAATTAGAATCACATGGAAACATTTTGAATACATTATTCTTAGTCAGTTTCTTTGAGTAAAATGTGATAAAAGTTGGTTTCACCAAGGTTGAGTTGCTTGAAGCTATTTTCACTGAATCTATTTTATACGTCTTTAATTGCAAAGAATAATGTATGTTATAGAGACTTGAAGTTGTTGAAATGCAAGGTTCTTTTATTTACCTATAGAAATGAGTTTTATGTGCACACATAGTGATTACAATCTGAAAATACAACACTGAGGTGAGTGTGGAGGAAATGTTAACACCTGTTATAAAAATGTGTAACACACAAAGACAAAATTTATCTTTAAAACTGCAATACTTTTGGAATATATCAATTTTAATAATATTAAAGTAGATTAGCTTTATAATAACTAAAAGTAAAAAATGTAGCAATTTATAGTAATGCAGTAGATGATTTTTTAATCTTGAAACAGTGCTCTTGGAGGTTTTAAAATTCTTTAAATAAAAAATATACACTAAATTAGAAAGAGTAATAATGCGGTCTTTAAAGAAATGGAGGTTTTCAACATGTATGTTTGGTAAAATGTAGGGAAGAGAAAACCACCTTGCTTGTGCCTTTGGAGGGTGGGACAAGGATTAACTTTCATTACAAGTAATATATCTAATTAACCCATTGTTTAAAATTCTATTTGCTTTTAATAACAGATAATTATGAATTGTACTTAAGACTGAGCTTTTTATGTGGTATTAATTTGTTTTAACTTTTTGTCCTGTTGAATGTATAAACTATCCAAAGAAAAGGTTAACACATCATTTATGTTTTTTAGTGAAATGTGTGCCATTGCTTGTACATGTAATATAGAAAATGTTTGCATGTTGTAAAAACATTTGTGAACCTTTTGCATTCAATAATTTTTTCAGCATTATTTTTAGCTGACTGTTTTAAACAATTTAATCTCAGTTAGGTGTACATAATATGTATGTATGTTAAACAGATACATGTCTATTTGACATAATGTATGTAGTTTATGTGCTTGTCTAATCTGTGTTCATGATATTTTTTCTTCGTGTTCACTTGAATGTAGTTGTTTTTTTGTAAATAAATTCATTGCAGGTGCATCATTTATTTAGGTTGGTCCCAAGACATTTTATTGCTATTTTTGTTTTATAAGAAAGAAAACATTTACCATTTTGAAGTCAAATAAAAAAAAGAATTTCTGTTTTATAATGTTTATACTACACTGAAATGAGATATCATAAATATAAGTTTTGACTTCGTTAAACATTGATAGATTTGAAATGTCTTAATTTTTTGTTTCTTCATGTGTTAATTGAAAATTATACTAATTAAACTATAACTTGTACCTAAAATTCTTTCCTGCAGTTTTCATATGAAGTAAATAAAGGAAATCCATGAGAAGTAAATATTCTGCATTAAGAGGGAAAGATGTCACAGACAAAGTTTTAGATCAGATAGACAGCTATGGAGATGTAGTGTCTAGTAAATATTCTGCATTAAGAGGGAAAGATGTCACAGACAAAGTTTTAGATCAGATAGACAGCTATGGAGATGTAGTGTCTAGTAAATATTCTGCATTAAGAGGGAAAGATGTCACAGACAAAGTTTTATATCAGATAGACAGCTATGGAGATGTAGTGTCTAGTAAATATTCTGCATTAAGAGGGAAGATATCACAGACAAAGTTTTAGATTAGATAGACAACTATGGAGATGTAGTGTCTTTAATTTTAAAAATGTATAGTTTCTTGAATATAGTTTTTGGATTAGGAGTACAAATAAAGAAATATGAATGTAACATTTAGATAAAAATTTAGTTTCTTATAGTTTTCAGATCAGTTGGACATGTAAAAGTTAAAATTGTTTTCATAAAGAAATTGAAAATTTGACTTAAAGCTTTTTCAAATTAAGTACATGTAAAACTTGGAGGTGTAAATTGGTTTTAGTTTCAAAGGTTGAAATTGTATATTTTTTTTTTACACAGTAAACTACTATATGTGTATTTTGATTTCTTAACTGAATAAAAAAAAAAGCCTCAAAGATCATTTAAGGAATATTTCAATAAGCTATGTACATTATTTCCTGTTTCATAGTTGTGTTTTTCTATAATTTGATTTTTCAAAGGAACATTGATAGTGTAAATTATTCAGATTACATCATTGGTTCTTTAAACTAATTATAAAAAAAAATTGAGGATTGCTTGACATCAGTACATTATATATCTGTGTCAAAAAAGAAAGATAAATAGATTTAACTAAGTGTAAACAATAACTTCAAGGGTAAGACTGAAAAGCAACATCTTTTGTACTACATTTGAACTCTATCTTTGAAGTTACAATTCACACCAAATCAGAGAGTGTGTTCAGTCATAACTAAAAAAAATGTTCAGAAATGTTTGTCAGAAGGCAAAAATGAGTATTTTAAGATTACTATATTAAGTATACTATTGAATTTAGCAATAATTTTATGAATAGAAATGATGTCATATATATTCTTTAAAGATATGCATGACTGACACTTAAATTGATCACTTAATTGCAAATACTCATTAGCTATTTAATCAGTAATAAAACACTGAACACCAAGTGTTTTACAGAGAAGGGTTAATCACCAAACTTGGAGTCATTACTTTATATAAAGTAATAAACATTTTAATAAAAGAATAAATTACAATTTTAAGTAATCAAAGATCATGATCTGGGATTCAAGTTTGTTGATACTTCTTTATAAACACTTACTATAAACAAGCTGTCTTGGGTGATCTGGAGATACGTATACATGCTGCGACTCTGAAAAGTCTGTTTAATAATCCTCATTCCAGAAGATGTAGGTTAAAATATTGGAAAAGTTTTAGTCTTGTATGTTTGAACAATTTAATTAAAGCATTGTTTAGTTTGTACATTATAGCATATATCTCAAATTTAATGCATGGCTACTAGGAATTTAACTTAGAGTAAACAAGTGGTTTATGGTTTGCTAGCAGTGAGAATATCAAATCATTCTGATTATTGGAAGTAAGAATAGTATATTAAATTAGTTATATTCATTACTAGGTTAATTTTTAGTTCTGATCTGTATAGGTAACTTGCTTTGGTTAGAAGTGATAATATTCCTATGTGTTTTTAGGTTAGTTTTTCAAACATCCTTATTTCTCCTTCCTGCTACTAGCAGGGGATGTAACTTTCAGATATATGGAATGCATTAGAGCCACAGAAAGTTGAAGAATTAATTTTTGTTTTTTTTCTGACAACACAGAGATGTGATTTGAGATGCATTTAAAAAAAATGGTGGAAAAGAAGTTGTATTGTAGCAAATATAAAGGTATTTATGTGTTATCAAACAGATCAGTATAGATATAAGCTTTTTGTTCTGTTATTTTAGAGTAATATTTCATAAAAACAAAATGTGATAGTTTGCAGGATATAATTTTTAAATCTTTGCCATGCCACAGAATAAAGGTTAGTCAACATTTATATTTTGTGCCATATTTTCAAACTTGGAGTGTGGAAGAAGAATTAATTGGTGGATAACTAGTGATGAGAATGTAAGTCCATTATTGAACATTCTAGAAAGAGGTGTGGTCGATGTCATAGTTTGGCTCTTGTCTTGTTAAAATCATCATTAATTCATTTTGCTACATTGTCTTGTATATATGCTCAAGTTTTAGTGAATAAAACTGAGTTAATCATCTCTTGTTTTATGCACAGAAATATTATGGATCTTGTACTTCTGTAATGTTGCATGACATGTAACTCGTTTTCCTTAGTTATGTAATAGTGTCCTTGAAGATTTTCATAATTATATAAACACTTTCAAGGTTGTCTTATTAATAAGAATAAACCTGTAAATCAGAAAGGGATGCAAATGTGTTTACATTATCTTCCATGTTGTATACAACACCACTTTAATAATATTTCCTGTTCCTCTTAGTCAGTTAGGCTCTACTAACTGGAGGCTCAAGGAGTATGTTTCTCTGACTGAGTTCATCGTATAAAAAAAGAGCTGATATACAGAAGTGTTGGAAAACACCTCTTTAATAACATTTTGTATACTTCTCACTTTTTATCAAACAGAGTTGGAAAAAATAACTGAGTTATTGTTTCACTGATATTGTAACTTGTCTGTATCATTCTTTTAACTGGGAAAACTAAGCTGTACAATTGATTTTGATCAAATTGTTACATTCATATAAACTGTAGAGAAATTACTTTTCTAGAGTTTCTAGTTTTATTCAAAACAGAGAACAAATCTAGAAGGAGTGGATGGGAGGTTGGGGTGACCCAGTGATTTGGCTAATGGACTGGCTCTAGCCTCTTGTTTGTGGAGGGGTTAAAACTTAATTGGTAACAGTTGTTACTAAAGTAACTAAAACTTTAATTTATATTAATTCACAAGGCTGGTGGGCTGGCCCTCATTAAAATTGTCAGACTGACCTGGTGATTGTACCGACTGCTGTTATGGCCAGTCCACCACTGAAATACAGTAAAAGTAAGAACTTGCCAATCTGGAAAAAAAGAAAATTAGTAAAGAAATATTTGGACATTATATTCACATTTCTGACATATATATATATTTCAAATATAAATTGTATACAGTAAAGATCTGAACATAACATTCCCACAGTCAATATTTATTCCTCCATCAATATTCAGCTGTATTTTAATGGAAAGGAACATTTAACAAAATAATTGCAATATTCATGCATTTGGCAAAAAGAAATAATCTTTATGGAAGTGTTGGTACATTATAAATCATCTTAGAAATTGAATTATTTAGCTCAAGTGGAATTTATGGCAAAGTTTGATCCACAAATAAACAGGAAAATAAGCCATCATGATTTGAGCCCTGAAGTCATTAATGCAATTGTTCTATAAATTGAACGTCCAAAATAGATGGAGTGTAAAGTTAAAAAGCAGAAAGATATTAGTGGAAGGTATATTGTTCACCATTAATAAAACTGAAATAAAATACAACAGATAATGTAGCTTATTCTGAAGCTGGATCATTCAGTTTCTAATTTTTCTGGTAATATGTGCCTGTACAAATAAATCTAATCAGCAAGTAAGTGCAGAATTCATGTATGAGAATTAATTTTGGTAATAATTTAGTCAATGGCATATGGCAACCACTACCGCAAAATAGACAAATATTTTAAAAGTGTCAGGTTACAATTGTAGTATATGTTTTTTCTACCTTCTTGTATTAATATTCAAGTTTTCCAAATTTATTGTTTGTCCAGTGTCCAAATGTTATGTTGACCAAGAAGGTCATTAAATTTCGTTTGTTATTGTTTTTGTCATTCACTGAGAGTAGCACCTTTTTTTCTTCATGTGGTGAAGATAGCTGTAATGTCACCTATGGAATGTGAAATTAGATATATTTTCCACTGGCAGTCAGGTGATCTCTAAAGGTAACTTTCTTTCTGTTGTATTTCATTGAGGAATGACTAGTTACCTGAGTAGCACTAGTTTCTCTGAGTAAGTGTGTAAGTAACTAATGTCAGAATTATTCAGTCTGGAATACGATCTTCAGAGATACAGTTCGGAACTAGAGATCACCATGTTAGAACTAACTCTCCAGTAAAGGCTACTGTCCTTTGTGACAAGTTAAGTATACATTTCACTGTGTTTGTCTTAAATAAAGATTGCTCACTTTAATTTAAGTATTATATTTAGTCTTGAATTGTTTTACAATAAATATCCTGTCAATTCTCCCATTATTAAGCAGACTTGTCTCATCATTCTCAGGGGAGATCAGTTTTACCTAAAAATACCACACTATTTGATCTCTGTCAGGTTACTGTTTACGGCTGTTGTAAACCCACAAAATTGGGCAGGTATTTCAGAGTCAATGTGTATTTACTGAGCACTTATAATTAAAGAGGGCACATTCCCTTTCTACCTCATAGGAAAGGGGTTTGCATCAGTTGTTCTAAGATTACCAGTAGTCGTGTCAAAGGAAAGAAACACCTTACTAAATGCAAACCTGAATATGAGCCAATTATTGCTACAAAATAACAGTTCAAAACTTTATATGAGAGTTTCCTTCATTACATGTAATTGTTTCTATTATTGTGTAACATTAAAATAATTCAAAATGTAGCACAATGAACTAGTAAATTGAGTTAAACTGTAGCAGTATCCAGCACCGATTGAGTTAAGTCAGATGTTGACAGAATTGAATTAGTACTTGAAATTCAAACATCTAAATACAATTATCCAAGAGACATTTGATACTCTTGGAAGACTGCGTGTTATTTACAAAAATACCTTAGCAACAATATATCCTGATATGTGTATTGCTCTAGTGACTGTTACATCTAGTGAGACAAGTTTTTCAAAGTTATAATTAATTAAAACTTATCCGAGATTGTCCGTGTTTCAGGAGCATTACAGAGTTGGCTCTTCTTCGAAAAGAATTTTACAAAAAGGTTGAATTTCCAGAAAGTTGTCCAATAATTTGTAATAAAAACAATTGTCAAAAGGGCATGAAGGCAAAAAAATATATATATTTCTATGACAAATTTCTCACATACATGCTAAATTTAAGTATTGATTTGTTTGTTGTTAAGCGCAACGCTTCATAATGGGCTATCTGAGCTGTGCCCACTATGAGTATCGAAACCAAGTTTTTTGTGTTATAAGTCTTGAGACTTACCGCTTTGCCACTGGAGGGCTTTATGTATTGAAAGGAGCTTACAATTGCCAAAGTTATACTTTATGAGCAAGAGGTTCCTATAACTTTACTTTTTTTACGTTTAATACTAAATAATGTCTCTAAAACAACAGTTCTAGTTTTATGTTTTATTCCACCATTGTGTAGGTGTGACATAAACAGAAACCTCTTTTTACCACAGGATACATCTTATTTGTAGTTTTTATTATCATGTTATTTGTTTATCATGTTGGTGTGATACAGTTTGCTTTAGTTGTTTGGAAACATCAAACTTTCCCATAAGTAACTGTTAGATCACTGAGAACTAAAATATCTTGTGATCGTTTAAACGACAGTATATTTAAAGTGACAAATATGCCTATAAAGATGTCATTTTAATTGACAGTTGTTTTATTCATAAAAGATTAACCTATGCTACTGAAAGGTATCTATCATTTTCCTTGAACAGGACTGTAAAATGTTTCATTTAACTTAGCCTTTTCAATATAACAATTTTATATTTGCAATCAAAATTTACCCACTAAATTAGTTTTAGTAAATATTAATATGTCTGACTTCTGACACAGTTTTTGTGTTACGAAAGTTTATACACATAGTCCTGTTCAGTAGGAATAGTATTATCAAAAAGTGTTTACTAATCAAGTCTTCACAAACCTAAACTTATCTAAATAAATTATTCTCATACAGGAAACAATATACGAGATTTGGCTTGCTCTTTATCTCTTCAACCTGTGTTACAATTAGAATTTTATATTGGTGGTTATTTTCTAGCTAGTATGGTTGTAGCGATAGTTTGTCTTCACGATTTTTGTTCCATTTGGTATGCATCCGGGATTGTATTTTTGGTTACTTGATTTCCAATATATATATATACATAGCCTTGGCGATAACATTTTTTACTTTGTCTTGATGGGTATTTTCTGATCACTATGGTCCTGTTGGTAAAACCTCTGGTTTATCTTGGTTATTATTCTATGGTCGGTATGGCCCTGGTGGTACAATCTGTGGTTTGTATTGATGGTTATATCCTGGTCAGTATGGTCCCGGTAGTAAAATTTGAAGTTTGTATTGATAGTTATTTCCTGGTCAGTATGGTCCTGGTGGTAAAATTTGTGGTTTGTATTGATAGTTATTTCCTGGTCGGTATGGTCCTGGTGGTAAAATTTGAGGTTTGTATTGATAGTTATTTCCTGGTCGGTATGGTCCTGGTGGTAAAATTTGTGGTTTGTATTGATAGTTATTTCCTGGACGGTGTTGTCCTAGCGGTAAAATTTGTCGTTTGTTTCTGTGGTTCCTTCCTGGTCGATATGGTCCTGGTGGTACAATCTGTGGTTTGTCTTGGTGGTTATTTCCTGGTCGGTATGGTCCTGGCGGTACAATCTGTGGTTTGTCTTGATGGTTATTTCCTGGTCGGTATGGTCCTGGCGGTACAATCTGTGGTTTGTCTTGA